GACATTAAGGAAGCCTATCAGCGCAAAACTAACAAGCTTCTGACAAACGCCATTGAGAGTGAAACTTCAGGGGATTACAAGCGCATGTTGATCTCGATAGTAGAGGGTAATGCATAGGTCGACTTTGGACATGCAGGGTTGAGTTTTAGGCCCTGCAAGCGCTCTTCTTGCGATTCCTGCTTCGGTGTAATAATGACTTAACCTGATCCGTGCTTTTAATTCCGCCAAAAAAAATGTATTAATCATCCTATCACTGTTGCGTGCCCCCTATCGATATGCCACGTTTGTATAATGAAGTGATACATTTAATATAGAATCCTCACCGGATGTAATCTTCTCCCTGGATGAAACTGGGGGGAGTTCATGCACATTTCATGAGAGCCTAGAAATAGAAATACCACCGTTGTCAAAATAAGTGGGTCCAAGTAAATCAAGCTGTAACATTAGTACTTAGTCACAGTTTTAAGCGTAAACGGGCCGCTTTTACCCAATAAGTTAAAGCATTATTTAATAGAAGCATGGTAGAGTTTACTTGACATTTAAACTTTCGATCGGCATTTAGAAAACAACCTATCACTGTTCAACACCGCCACAGGGGATTTCATTACGCGCACAAGAATGGCGAAATGGCGAAAAATAGTGGTGCGTACAAAATGCGCATCACACTACCCACTTTTAGTCCAAATATGTGGTTTGTCCTTGGCAATTTCTTGTCTGACCTTCGTTTTAAGTGCCTCAAATCGCACAGGTGGGGGGTGTGAGCTCCAAGGCTTCCAGCCTCGCTTTGCCGTTTGCATCCACCTTGCGAGTACAGATGCCGCAACGTGAATGTTTAGCTAATTTAAACGGCATAGATGTCGTTTTATGATGAAAGTCTCATCTTTTGGTCGACACCCATTTTGACTGTGGAACGGCCAAAAATAAATTCAAATAATTTTAATGTCACCCATAAGAGAATTTGCAAGTGAAAAAATGAACTAACATAGTCACGTGATATGCTTCAGTAATGACACCTTCACCAGAAAGACAAGTTGTCGCTCCTGAGTTTTACCTAAATTCCTCTTCTTTGACGTACGTATCAAGTACCATTCACGTTGAAAGCAGTTCAAAAAGTTTTAAAGGGTTTTTAGATTTGTACCTAACAGATGGTTGAAAAATAGGGCGAAAATGACGGTTTTGAGCTACTTTGTTCAGATGTTGGACAATAGCTAGCACCTCATTCGATGGTGTTAAAAAGATAATAAAAAGGACGTTACAGTTCAGTCGAAGTGCATGCAAAGTAAAGGCGGATTATCATATCG